TATCAACGTCTCGAAAGTAAGCGAAACACCTGGAAAAGTGCAGCCTCGTGCTTACACATGAACTGTAGCGCAGAAGAGGCCTGTGAATGATCTGAAGCAGCGCGTAAGGATATTCTGGTTTTCGGTGAGGGTCGGAGGCGATTCACTGTTAGTGGTGACAAAGGAAAGTGGCGACAGTAAATAGAAGGAAGAACTCTGCAATTCGGTGGCATACGATGATATAATAGCTCATTTTACAGGGTAATTACCGAGTTTCTCATTTTTGGCCCACACCCCGAACAGGCTGAGATGGCCTGGCAACATGCCCCAGACTCTGTTTATAGTACCCAAACCTAGTTGTGATTTGACGGTTTGATAAAACTGCGTTGGATAAATAATATCATAAATACAGACGATCGTATAATGTTGTTATATTGTAACGGAGTAAATGGTTTGAAAATCCTTCCTGGGTTACTTTATTTCACAGTATTGGCATTCATTTGAATATTTTCACCCTCATTATTGACGTTATCCTTTAACCCTAACCGGTGTAATATTATTTGTCACTTGCCCATCTTCTTTGGCCTAACGCTAACTGTTTGTCTTTTTTGATTGGGATCATTAATGCCCCACTTTGCTACTGTGAAATGCTGGACCTTTGACTACATGACGTTGTCTTAATATCCCCGACGCTCTGTTTCGGCTCAACTTAAGGCCGCACCGTGAACTGAGTGCTTGTTTTTTGAGTGTCTACTGAAAACGTTTGTTGATTCATTTGATTCCTGTAGACAGAGTTTCAGTCCCATTTTGTTGGGAATATTCCTGTTGATTCTCAGGTAATGAAAATCGTATTTCATTGACTAGTTTTTTGCTGCATACCACATATCTCATGTCAGGAAATTTTTGGACTGTATGGATTGCCCAGCAGGATTGTTGAAGTAATTTTGTAATCTTCATACAACTTGCTGTTTAGTAGCTCCACAGATTTACCACAAATCTATTACATATCGACAACACCGGATCGTGTTTTGCTACTGCTGGGGCATAGTCTTTGACTGTGCGTGACTCAAGGAGGCTTGGGGAAAAACACCATAGAATGCCGTAACTTGGCTGGTCGCATTAGCTCGGCTCTGTAGGACAATCCCCTGCAGCGAGGCCGAAATACTTGTGTTTTGGTCGTTACACTGACCGGAGTGTTGTTTCGGGGTCCATTGCCCTCCCGGCGTGCGAACGCGTTATCCACGTCAATGGAGCAGATCTTCCGTTTGGGACTGGCGTTGCAGTTTTATGATATATGTATATATTTAGAAATCAGTGTATATGTATACTCCAGTTCACTAAACCACGGCTATCTTGGATAACCAAATGGTGAAAAAGTAGCTAGCATTAGTAGAGTGATCAGTGGTTGCGCGCAGCGGAGGGACAGAATGCATAAGGGAAGATAATTTTTTCCAGCACCTGCCCAACCACTGGCCACAGAAACAGGGGTACCCGAGGTCAAATGACCATCGCGAGTACTACATGTGTGCATCATCTCGCGATCATACGATCAGTTTCTCTTCCGTGTGCAATCCCGGTAATCGTGACTGTCAGCGTATATCAAACCATCAAAACTGCCTCAGGAATGGACAGAGTCTGAGGTCACGGCTTTATCACATACTCTACTTTCAGGAATATCCGATGGTTGAAACAATGGCTGAATAGTTCCTAATTCCGAACTAAACTTGGTTGATCTACTGAACGTAGTGTTAGCGTCCGACTATTTCATTTTTTGTTTTCTGTGAAACAGTAACACACAGTCACTAAGCTCATCTATTATATGCTTTAGATAACAATTTCTAAGTATTGCATGTTAGTGATAAAAGCATGGAATCCATGGGACCAAGCTAATCATAACTGTAAACTCATTTGCTTCCAGACAACCATTGTCGCATGAAAACAAGCATGGTGTTATGAGTTCAAACGGCCCTCCAGCCCAGTAGTGTAAACTGTTTTGACGGCAAGCGGTAAACCCTAGTTCTTCACTAAGCAGCTACAAAAGGTAGAGTAAATTTGGTAAGCGACTTCTAGCTTCATACTGTTCCAGCGCCACCTCCAACTTTCCGCAGTAGGTCTTAGGTTTCCTCAATATCACGTCCGTCGTGATAGCCGACTGGGTTTCCCGTTGCACCTCGAATGTGCACCATGCATTTGTAGCGAACAGTTTCGTAGCTGATGCACTGTCTTCACTTTTCAGTAAGCCCTGTCGAAGCCGTTGACATTGTTGAAGTATCCGTCCTCACAGATAAGATCTTGAGCTGGGGCACGCCGTGTTATTCACAACTCTGAGACTACAGTTGAAGCTCAGACTTCGATAAAGACGCGTTTGCAATCGACGCATCAGCTGGTCAACCACGCCGAGTTACCTGTAAAAAAGTCGGTTCACTGCCTCCAATACGTTGCGTTAAGGACCTAATCCAGCTGTACGAGCAGCCATCAGGCCCATCACATAGTGTTTCTACTGATCTTGGATGAGCAAGGAGATCTAAGGGTGCCTCATTTGTGCAGCGCCCTCCGATAAGGTGGTTTGATCCTGAAGCTTTCACGGTCTATCCAGACAAAACTGTGGTGTCTAGAAGGACAATGAAAACTACGATATCAAACCACCCACTTTATAGACGTAACTCGGAGAAGATAACCCACCGGAGACAAATATTCTTCACCACTTCAGGTCGGAGTGTGTCTGACCACGCGTATTCTGCGAAGGGGAGAAATCATTCAGCACATAAAACGCCAGATTCTCTCTGAGACGACAGTACTGTAGGACTCTTACCAGAATCTGATGTTTGCATCAGTAGATGGTAGAAATGGTGTCCATAAAAAATCAAGTTCTGAAACGATCGCCCCATTTACCTCGGAAGATGGATCAGAGGCCCCAGATGCCAATGTTTGGTAACAGCCTACATACGCACCGGCCCAATTTGGACTATATCACGCTTCAATTAGACTTCTAGGTTGCAACCGCCCCAAACTGCACTTCCATAAAAAGGAGGTAGTACCACAAAACGGTTACACCAAGTCCTGGGTGTGACATGTCCGGCAACGAGCACGCCACTGTGGACCGACGCATCTTCTCTCGTTGTTTTGGGCTTCAAAGCCAAATAGAAACGGATGTGTTATGAAATTCATCAAAACTTGTCGACTGTGCAACTCTGACTACCGGTCGAATCATTTCATCTTCCGCCCTCATGTCAGCTTCCGGCATAACATCTCACACTACCAGGTTTACAAACGCTATGCTTTGGTCCAGCCAAATCTATTAATATCACGAGTGACCTAAATCTTCGCTTATCCCTTTCTGAGGAAAATGTGTTGCATTTCGTTCTCCACCATGTCACTGATTAGCTGGTGAAAACACCTTGTAATAGACCATTAGAAAGCATACATTGATGCCAGTTTTATGTTGTCAAAGGAACCATGTGCGAAACTGTCGTAAGTGCTGACTGTTTGAGGCTACTTACTCCAGAGTCGACGTCACCATAATCAAAGTCATCTACCCTCAGCTAACTGGTGGGAGACATTCCAGTATTCAGACAACTTGATGACCCACCTTGTAATGCAGAGACGTCATTGTTCCGTGCTCAGAAAAAAGCACGTCCGCATCGCACGGCATGGTTCTCAAAATTTGAAAGCTGGATGGTATCCATAATGACACCTACATATTTTATGTTTTCCCCCGTGACACTCCTTTGACTAAACAAATTGTCTTCAGTCCTCTTCATCGCAGTGCCACTTTTCTCTTACAAGCCGTCGCTCCTGTACAACCCGGTGTAAAGTTTTCTGTCGACAATTTTTTATCCTCAATATTCCCATCCTACCACTTCCGTCTTGGCAAAAATGTGTCATGGCACAGCAATTTTCCGCTCTCTGCTCCAGGTGTGGCGAGCACTGAACTGCTATCCAGTGGGTCACAACGACTAAGGTTAATATTACATTCTGATGCCCGCATTACCGTTTGCAAAGTCCCTTAGAGCGGGCACCGACATCCAGAGACCTTCCACGAGATAAGAACATCGGAGGAATTTAATACTCGGAGAAGTCATCTAGCTTCTTCCCCTAGCTTGTGCTGCATTAGTTTCCTCACGAACCGACCAGAAGGATGAGCTACCAGTGAAAGTTAGTTTCTTAAAATCGGTAGCCTGGATTTCAAAGACATTCAAAGGACATGTGGACCTTCACAGATCAAACGGGCTTGTTGAACCAAAGGGACACGATTAAGCCTCAATACCATTTGGAATGTTGTCTCAACACACCTTTCCCTGTTCAAATCTCCTGGCTAACTGGTCCACGTATCGTGGTTTATTGGTGCGACTCCTAAAACCATCGATTCAAGCCGCCAGTATCATCACTTTCTTTCCTGGTTCCACATTCGTGAGTACTCAAAGATTATGAAGAACTGGCGGCTTGCCCCTGTATCCATTCTAACCGCAGGGGCAAAATCCCTAGTGTCTTTTTGGCAGGTAGTGGGCGTGAAATATCAGAATATAATTTATGAGACCACCGCTGTATGCGAATCCGTGAAATTAGCCTTTCAAGCAGTGCACATCTGAAATTCTGCTAGTAAGTAATTCAAGTGCTGATACCATTAACAAGCAACTATCGCTCAAATACGGAAATGTTTTATCATCAAATGAGCCACTGCTCCATTCAGGTTATGAACAAGTGATATATATGACTGCTGTATCTTTCGCAATCCACGTCAATAATAGAAATCCTACGTGTTTACTATCCATCATTTTGACATAGCCTTTATACCTTGGATTCCGCCAAAACTGATAATTATTTTATCCTACTGAAGGAGGTTGCCTTGTTCACAACCATTTGAAGTTGTCATTAGTAATAAAATTGAACATCTGAAAATGGATCGCAATTTTGTTTACATACTCAACGTAAGCAACGGCGGTCAACTGATTATGTTGTTGTCCATGTTTGTGAGGAGGAGGTATGTGCAGTTTACTGACACCCGTGTATATTGCACTTACCTTCGTCTTGCAAATATAGGGTGATCATCAAAATTGTTTCGTTCGTACAAGAAGTAATTATCTATTTTTAACATATTCATCAACCGGTTCTTATTTTTGAGTAAGCATTGGACGTCAAGACTACCCCCTTAATTGCTTCTTTTAATTTGCATCATCTCTCAGTATACCGGCTAATAGTGAGCGAAGATAAATAACAGTGGGTATGACGAATAACTAACAAAACAACTTAAGCCAAACAATAATGGTGCCTGGATATTGACTAGTCGGTAGTGGTTGCATAAGACGTTCATTTGCATCGTTAACTATCCCTTTCATATTATTAGCTCAACATTTTTAGTAGGACGGCGGGTTATTTGGTTGAAGACATCTTTATTCTTGGGGCGAAAATAACCTTTAGTTTTAGGATCTATTTACTACGGAGGTACTTCCAGCTATCTTCGGGCTGTGTAAAGATAGCCGGAAGTTGGACTTGAGAATTCTGATGTCTTTCGGAAGTTTAGAAGCCGACCTCAAAGTTGTTAGTTTGAACAGTGACAATGCGACTCATTCGAAGGAGTCTTTGTAGCCAGGAATAGAGCCGGCACGGTGTGTTCCTCTTCAAAAAAAACTGTGGACAGTCGCCTGACCAGATAAGTACACTACAATTGATCCAGCCTCATTAGAACGACCCAGAAGCATTTACTGTATATTGAAAAGTTTTGTCCTTCATAAACTTTTATCAGCTACACTTTATATGTATGCGCTTATTACAGTTGAAATACGTCTAACCTGTTGAAATTATTGTGTGCCTTCCGTCCATCCGGTTTCTTGCTGTCTCTTATCGTGATGTCCGGATTTGAGGTTCTCGCTAACTGCGCGTCGTTCGAGTATGCCATATATGTGGATGAAGTCTGTTGAAATTAGGGATTTGAGTCACGTCATCTAACATGAACTGTTTGCCTCCGTAAGTTTTTTTCATAATTACTGACCGGAAGAAGTGATACCAGACAACTTCCACACGATTATTTAATCTCAACGCCTAACTTGCAAAGACTACCGAAGTCCTTGTTGATTATAAGTGGTATTTCGCTTGGGATACGATTCTTGAAGATTCGATTGTACAAGTGAGTGTTTCAGGTGGAAGAGGATCTGTAGTGTAAGGAGATACATCCATATCGACTCTGATCACAAAATTAAGCGAAAGGAACTCATATATTGACCAAGAGTGGTTGGCGAAGTTGAGAGAGAAAAGGCATAATCATTAGGTAATATACGACATCTACTTAGGATTTTGGGCATATCAGCAAAAAGATGGTTAGTAAGATCATCCCCGAAATGGAGGAGAAGTCGGTCACCTCTCCATACAGATGAATGAAACGTTAGACGGAATACATTACAGCACAGTTCAACAAGCCTACAGAAACTCTTAAGTTACCCAACATCCATCCTGGACCCGGATGGGATATGGATTTCCATCCTTCAATTGTCTGGGAGTTGGGAATAATGCTTCGCACCTGCAACGATGCAATTTAGCGGGACCTGACGGTTTGTCACCAGTAGATTTTAAGGATGGAGGTAGGAAATTGCTAAGGATAAACGAAGGTATGAGGTCGTGTGTATGAGTCAGATGCAGTTCTGCCAGACAGGTCATTCTAGTCTATAAGGAGGGAGGAATCTTCTGACAAGCGTAGGCGCATTGGTTCGACGTACATCGTATCAAAATCCTTGGGTCTATAACTATCCGACACCTAACTGGAGTTCGAGCAAACCAGGCAGGTTTCAGACCTGGATGAGGGTGTACCAACAGAATTTTCACATTCTAATAGGGTTTGGAATGCAGACCAACGACACTAGCCATGTTTCTTCACCTGCAGGTAGCACCTGACTTCATCGGCTGTTGTGGTTGTGAAAGTATGCGACATTAATCGTAGCTCTCTACTCGAGCTCACCCAGCCATGTAAGAACCTGTTGAGAGTTGTTATGTGAATTGACGAGGAGAAAATGTCCGCAAGGTATTCACGTTACCGCCGTTCCTGTTCGATTCCGCTGAGGATGTACTAATAAGCATAATCTTTTGTATCTCTGACTCTGTCCTGCTGGGCGAAGACGTTAAAATAGTGAGGGGACTTCTGAACACCACAAAAAATATATGTATGTTTGACGTGCGTTTCGCTGACACCTGTCAAGTATAAGATGATGCCTCAAAATTGATTGACAGTTACTACCAGTCTAAGGATAAAGAGTGAAGTGTTGGAATGGGTCGACTTCACTTAGAGAGGCGGATCAGCCCGAACGGGTTGGTTACTGACGAAATCTTGGCTCGGATACAGCAGACCAGACTGGCATTTGCCAACTTGCGTCGTCTGTGGCACCAACTAGCGAGATAGCCGACTAACCATTGAACAACGAGTATATTGCTCTGTAGTCCCTTCTGTCCTTTTATGACTGAGACAACTTACTGGGAAAATCAACATAGACGGTTTTGATGGTAGAAGACGTGAAACGACCATTGTATCTTCGTAGCATTTCTGGCGTATGGTAGAATCACTGTATGAGCAGTGTTGAATCAGGCAAAGGGTAATCGGCAGGTTGATTGGTGAGGTTGTGAACCTCCATGGACTCAGATGGCTTGGATGTGTTGTTCAAGCTGAGGCACTGCCTACCTCGACGTGCAATGCTAGGAGTTGGATTAGTTTGGAAGTGCCATGATGGTTAGACTTGTCAGCAGTTCACGAAGTCTCTGACTGTTGGTTTTGACCTTGCGGGGAGTTGTAGACTGCGTAGTTGGGTCGAGATGATAGGAAGCAGTGGTTGGGATGTCTTGGTGACATGGCTGAAAATCGGTCACAATGACATGTAATTACAGTGACATATAAATCGTAAATATTTTCAATAATTTTCATTTTCAAATCCTTTCTGTACTGCGCCCTTTTCTCTTCAGATATCAGTCTTTTTCTATCCACTTGTTCTTTGCATGCTGTGACGTGCGGCAACTTGAACCGACCCACTTGTGTGTGAGGTTCTATTTTGATTTTATCTGTCTACATCTCTGACGTTCAAAGCTCCCCACCATCTTTAATCTTACTTAGCCTGTGAAAAAACAGGTTTGGTACTCATTCATTTTAAATCCCTATATTTCTTTCGATAGTTTGTTCACATCGTTTGCCAAAAGCTTCACATGGTATAATTTCGAACCAGGGACTGTAGTCTATTCTGCTTTAATACAAAAAGTGTTGACAATAAATGTCATATTTAAAAGCAGTCCTTCGAATCGTTCCGAAAAATAGTCTAGTAAAAAAATGCATAGGAGCACTCAGAAGACTGTTAATTAACTATTTCTACAAACCGTGGGCCACCTGCATCAGTTCTTACTCAGGCTAGACTCCGACCTGTTTTAGAGTGGACAGTTATAAGTTGGAGCTTCGAAACAGAGATGGACACTAGGTCCAACTTGAATTTCCTCAGAGCTGTAGATTTAAGGGATGCTCTGTCTGTGGATATGACTACAACCTTCTCAAAGTCTTTTGAAGTAGGAAATAAATGCATTATTTAGGTCTAGTCGTGAGCTTGTACATTGAATTATCGCTAACTGTTGCTATAAATTACAGTAATTCATCGCGAAATATCACTAAAATAAAAAAACACCATTATGTGTAAGCTTTTGTTAAAAATTATCTTTAATATATGAATCATCAGTTTCATTTTTCTGCGTATATATAGGCTTGCGAACACAAAAACAATTGGCCCATCGCTTATTGAACGGAATCTTATCCATCCTCGAACATTAATGACATTCAGTATCCGTAATCTCTACTGTTGTACGGGCTAAATTACTTCTTTGGACTTCAGTAGAATCGAAATGCACTCAAGCCATCATGTGAACATTTGTGCTGTAGGCAATTAGCCACACCTATTGTGCGAACGTCAGTGATACTGTCTGGCCTGCCTAAACCCTGAGAGCGGGACCCGAAGCCGTGACCCATTGGTTAGAAGTTATCTCCCTAAACCAGTAAGCCACAGTGCGACCCGAATGCTCAGTTTTAACGTCGCTGACTGCAGCATTGGGTGACGTGTGTTCCAAACTCAGTCGGGACATCGATTTTCGTCGAGGCTGCAGGTACAACTGCCCCAGTAGCTTGGTTGGTTAGAGTTCTGTACTTTCACTTCAGTAAAATACCTGATTGTATGACAACGCTAAGGAATGATGGAGAAGTGATTTTAGTGACTTTATAGTTCCTGACGTTGCTTAGGCATCAAGTGGGCACTTTTACTGTGAAACTCTCCGGCATTGTAGGTAGTCGAGTATGCCCAACCTCTATATTCTAAGAGATACAAGCAAGTACTGTCATGTTTTTCATATGCATTAAGCTTGTCCTCAAGCTGATTTGGTTGACTGTCTATTATTCCTTTTTTTTCTAGTGGAGGGAAAACTGTAATTCGAAATTACATCACATGAAACAATTATAACGTCTGGCTAAAACAGCTGTGTGAGCATGGTTCATTGGCTTAGGCACTAGATTTTCAACTAATAGGTACCGTGTTCAGATCCTCTTCCATTGCCACTAGGTTGTATCAAAAATCCATACTCTATGAGTGTGGTGTAAAGTCTAGCACTAAAGCATCTGTACCAAGTTGAGTTTTAATCACCAACTGGAGAAAAACTCGTTTCTCTTGCACCAGTTATTTTGTTGCATGGGCGCTAAATCTAAGGTATTTAAGTAAATTTATTCGCATGTAAAAAAAACAGCACAGATGTCTTGTCACAATAATATATACTTACTTTGATTGATAAAACTATGTCTAACATGATTTTTTTTCACATAATACACAAGCTAAATAAGGTATGCTTGAATTTTTGTATGTAGTTGCACGCGTATAAAGTTTAATATTCTTGCTGTCTTTCTGAAGACAGACATAGAGAAAGGTGCGGATGCCTGTTATTAGATAAGTTCTCAGCCACCTGTCTACAAGAGTTTAGATGCCTATCCACAACCACATTTATCAGCATGGTTAGTGGTGTACCATTCAAAGTCCTATGCAATACAGCTTAGTCTTTTTTCCGGAGTCCTGGAAAGAACACGG